ATATATAATGTATCTCCAAACGGTACCGCGCCGTAAGAGAAGAAGCACAGAGGATGAAATAGCTAATAGGAGAAGGAGGCGAATGGGGGAAGGGGAAGGGATGGTGGTTTCGCTCGGTACGAGCGTAGAGACGCGGAGAGAGTGATTTAATCAAGCCGGCTGCATTCGATTATCGGTCCGCAGTTACGTGGATCGTTACGTCGTTTCGTCGTGCAGAACGCGATTCGCCTTGCGTTAATTTCGCGCTCGTGCGCCCTCGGCTTTGGTCCGGCGTTTCTGAGATCCTCTCTCCTTTCTGAAATCTCCCCTACGTCTCTCCGAGCTTTACAATTAGTGTAATGACATAGTAATACCGAGTGATACCTCCTCGTCTCTTGTGTGGAGAATGGTAACGTTGTAAATCAAGCGACAAGTGTGTACGTGTCTATCGAGGTGAAGAGATTTAAGAGGGACATTTGTGTGCGAAGCGGACAGAGGAACAAACTTAAACGGTAAACAACGCTGCGAAAGCCGACAAACGTGTTTAAATTTACTTTGTCGGCAAAAGATCATTTGATACGGAAAAACCGATGCCGTTGATATTTTTCTATTTGAAAATTTATCGATTTATCTCTCGTGTAGAAGCTTCTGCAATCTGTAATCGTTTTGGAAATATTTTACGTAAAATATTACCGATACGCTGAGAGAAAAATTGTTTTAAATCAAGTAAATATATTTTCTTGAAATGCACATGCACACGCGCACACACACACACACACACACACACACACACACACACACACACACACACACACACGACTTTTTCTCTCGTTTTTTCGATGAAAAGAATTTGTTTATTTAAGTAAAATATTTAATTTTAAATAAATATGCATATTACATTGAATACATTATTTTATATCTACATATTTTTTACGTTTAAATATTGCTTTTAATAAAATATATTCATTTATATATCATTTATTAATTAAAGATAGTTTTTTTTTTAATTAAGAATTCAAAGCTGTTTTTTAAAAATAAAGTATGTATTCTGGTTCCAAATAATTTAGACAAGTAAAATATAAAAAATAGATAGCTAAAAATTTATATAATTTCGTTATATAAATGTGTAATAAATACTTAAGTTAAGAAAATGGACGTTTTGAAGTAACACCGTCTAAAGTTTCTTGAAATAAAATTAATGTTTCAAGGGAAATCATTTTTTCCTAAGCGTATTTGATATCAATTCGATCACGTTTTCGTTGAGGAAAATTCGATCTTTAATCACGTTACAAGAAATCTTTCATACGTTAATTTAAAAAAAAAAAACAAAAAAAAACATTTTACTAACATTCTACTGATATATAATACATATTTTTTTTAACTTTTGTTCTCAATTTTTATTCGCGACGAGAGAACTTGTTATTTATATCGTGTATACGCGGCATATAATTGGCTAGAAGTTTCAATATGCGGCATATTGAGAAACTCCATAACTATCAGTGCCCTGCCACTTAACGATCGCCAATTTATCGTCGTGTTAGATACACCGTGCGTCGGTTTAGGTTAGGTTCGGTTCCGTCAATATTTTATCTGGATGACCTAATAGGGGAAGCATAGAGGCTTACGCGAACGACGACGGGGCTTTTAGACGGGCACAAATTGACCGGTTTCCGATAAATATCGACGCCAGGTGTAAAGCTGCGTGGGAGGGAAGGGGAGGCTTTACGAGATTAAATGTCTCGCTATGTATATTCCACCGTGACGAACTAACGATCCTTCGCCATCTTGAAAATGCCGTCGCGGAAATACATCGTCATCACATCGTCGTTATTCCGCGTGATCTCCTCCGCTTAACTGTTTTAACCTAATCAGACTTTAACCGAGAACGTAAACCCAGCCTTTCGTGAAAATTACTTACCTATCCCTATCCTATCCTCTATCCACCCTCCCCCCCCGCGAGAAACGGGAGAGGGGGGTGTAATTAAATCGTTACGACAACCCCGCCGCGAGAGAATCAACCCTTGAAAGCTTAAAATGGCGGACCGCTTTGAAGACGGCACTACTCGCGGCGAATTTCGCCGAATTTAGGCGCGCTTCGAGTTCTCGCTGAGCCCCGTCGTCGTGATTCGATTATACGATATTAATTGCGAACTTAAGCGGGGCACGCTTTTGAGCGTTCATCCCACTCGCCCCGACTAATTGAAGTTGTCCTCCACTCTTTGAGACGAACGTTGACTCATTCACTTTGCGTAACGCGTAGGTGGGTTATAAAGTAGACGCGAAGCGCGTAATCCCGCGGAGCGCGCGAAAACGCTCGGAAGAGTTTTCTCCGCATCTTGTTTTGCACAAGTCTCAAACCTACCCACGTTCAAATTCAAAGCAAATTTATTTGTCGTTTTCTCAACATTTGAAATTTTATATTTTTTCTTGCGGTTAAATTTGTTCAAAGATATCTACTAACTTGATGTTCTTATTCTTCTCTTTGTTCCGTCTAAAAGTTTCTCTCCTCACGCTGATATGAATCACCCTAACCGCTGAGATTACGCGCGTCGGGATCTCGTCACATTAACTCGACTAATCTAATTCCAACCTCCCGACTTACATAAGCCTCGTTCCCTAAACTCCAACCCTAAATCTAACCGTAGACTTAATTCTAACCTGACATTTGCGCTTAAAGCTAGCGGGGGGAGGGGGAGGGGGAGAAAGGGATTGGAGAGAGACCGGCGTGTGTTGGTTGCGCGGCCTATGTATCATAATTCCGACAGTCCGGGGGTTAGTTAGCAGTCTGTTTGTTCGCGAATATCCGGCTGGCCGGATGCCGCATGCCGCATGCGGCATCGCCGGATGCGATGGGGGTGCGCGCGGATGCATACTAACGGCGGCGAATAGTTTGGATGTGCTGCGCTTTTTCGAAACAAGGTCGAAACTTCAGTCGTGTTGCGCCGCGAGTTAATGGCTTTCAGCATATAAAGGAACACCAAGAGCTTTCTCTCTCGGTGTATACGAAATCGCGGAACACGAATGAAGTTAACCAAACCCGTCAAAAATTTCCACCGACAATGAGAGAGAGAGAGAGAGAGGTAAATGCGAGGTATAGCTGTTGCGTAAGTTTTTTTTGTTTTTTTCTTTTGGAATTGCTATAATCCCCCGACCGAAATTTTTCGTCTTTTGTTTTTTTGTTTCAACAAACAAGGAAAAACAAGTAGAACAACAATTTGTTCGAAGAGCGAAATTTATTTTGATTGCGATCGATCTCGAAACGATTTATAAATAAATGATCGAAAAATTCACACGAGCGATTGAAAATTCTATAGTTTTTTTTTTTTGTCGTGAACTCTCGTTCGATCGAATCCCATACGTTCGAATCCCTCTCTCTTTCAGCGACGGGTGAAAAATTCTGCAGTTCAAATAGCATTACGTTGATTGTTTGACTTTTTATATCAGATTTTCACAAGAATTATAAATATATGTGACATACACCTGTCTTTTTTTTTTTTTTTTTTTGCGCGCGCGCACTCACATTTTCGATTAATAGACGGCTGTTTGATTTCGAGTTTTTTCGCGCATCAATGCTGATTGAATTATCCACGAACGGCGTCGTCCCGAAGCGGCGTCTCGACGCGCACCGTCTCCATTTCCGTCTTTTTCTCTCTCTCTTTCTCTCTCGTCGTTCCGATTCAACGACCTGTGACCTTCCGCCATCCAGTATCTGCCCGGCTTCTTTCATTCGATGTCTGCACACTCCCGTGCACCTTGATATTCCGCCGCGTGTATACATAGCGTGTTTCAAAACCGACCCGGTGAATTAACTAATTAATTGGATTCGACGTAACCGGTTGCCGTTTGATGCCGAGCATGTACGTGAGTATTAAAAAATATAAAACTTTCACACAGGATCGAGAGAAAGAGAGAGAGAGAGAGAGAGATTTTAATTAAATTTAGTTTCAAATGTACTTGTGATAAATTGATTACAATTTTTCAATCTCTCTGTCTTTACGGCACTTTAAATTAAAACTGTATACGAGAGAGAGACATAGGGGAGATATACGAAACCGTTTCACGTCGACTAACTGAAATTTTTAATGACTGATGTTAATTATAACTGTGAAAGTCATGGGAATTTCAAACAGAGATTTTGAGACACTATTTTAAGGTAATCTCCAACAGGGAGAGGATTCGCCGGAAGAGGATGTTCGCGTGACAAACGAATGTTTTTCACGACCTCTTCACGTAGACACCGTAAGACTGCCGAAAGTGTCTCCGCATTAAATATGAACACGGAGGGATAAAACGTGACGCAATAAATGGGGAGTATTTCATGGTAATGCGAGCCACTCGGTTGTAATGCATGGGCTGCGGTAATGCCGAGCGATATATTAAAGCGATGATATTCATTTTGCGCGTGCGATTCATTATTTTTTTCCCCTCCCTCTCTCTCTCTCTCTCTCTCATTAATGAATAACGTTGTTATTCAATTAGCCAGTCGAATACAACGCCGAAGATAAATTGCGGGAGAAGAAAAAAAAATGTCCTACACTGGTTCCAAATAAAAATTCTCTTAAATTGCAGAGGAATCTGGTGTTTACACGGGGAAACCGCTATTTACATACATACCGGCGACGGAGATGAGACCACTGGGAGGCAGAGTGAGACTCTTCTGCGAAGCCTACCTGGGCAAAGTTGATTTACCCGACGCCGAGAACTCCATCAGCTGGTCGAAAAGTGACAACAACATGACGCTACCCAGTCACGGCAGAGTGGCGCAGCACAAAGTGTCCCGGTAAGTGTCTTTCGGAATAATTTAGCGTTCGCGCGTTTGTTTAATAAAGAAATTTTATTTGACCATGGATGCGTTTGAAAAAAAAAAAAAAAAAAAAAAAAAATCGTCTAAAATAAGACAAAAATTCGTGGAAAATCTCATGACGTACGTGCCGTCGTGAAACTTAAGAAAAAGTTTTATTTTAAAAAACCGCTCGCTCTTTATTTCACCGCGATTTTTAACTATCGGGCACGCTGGAGATTTTTCGAATTGAAAGCGGATTTACGGATCAGAAACGTCGATGTTCCGGAGCATCTGAGCGGCGGATATGAAAGACTGCGTCTGAACATCATATATAAAGCAGCGCGCGAACATGAACATTTGGCTGGCTGTTGCGCCACCATTCTTCCGGCTCTTCACCCTCGCCTCGTCGTTGCATGCGACGCGCGCTCTCTCTCTCTCTCTCTCTCTCTCTCTCTCGGCACGGGGGGCGTGTGTATCGTATCTGTCGTCGCGAGAGCTACTCTATCCCCCCGTAACTCAATTTTCCCGACGATGCATCGTCACGGCGCATCGCTACGGTAAACACGAGCGAAAACCACCGACTCGACAACACGCGGAGAGAGAGATAGAGAGAGAGATAGAGAGAAAGAGAGAGAGAGAGAGAGAGCGAGCGCGCGCAGAAGCCGCGCGCTGTGCAGCATTACAGCGAAATTACTCCCCGGGTCCGGGGATATATGCAACGCGTGCGCGGACGATTCGCCGTCGAACGCAATTTTATTTCGCCGGATAATTGGATCCTCGGGGCTTGCAGACTCTCCGTGGCGTGTCCTCCCTCTCTCTCTCTGTCTCTCCCTTCTTCCCTCTTCCCTTCTTCTATCCGCCTTCACGATCCTTGTGTCTTGAATCCCCGATTCCTTACGAAGGTTGCCAAAGGAAATGTTCCCTCGCGTTTCTCGGAAAGAAAACTTGCCAACGCGAAAATTTTAATTTCACGCTTTATCAAACGTGATTCGATTTTTCGACATTTTTTCGGTCATCACACGTTTATTTGAAAGTAAAGGGAAAAGTAGAAAAGAAACAAAGAAAAATTAGATTCACAAGGATTTTAAAGAAACACAACTGTGTGCGCGCATACTAATTACGGATTAATTTCTGATAGAGTTTTTCTCTTCGCCCCGTGTTCAAGTGGTGAATTTGTTGAAGAAAAATTCTTACTACTCGCGTCGCGCGTTTGACACGTTATTTGACACTTTTTATTAATTCTTCAGACATTATTATATGCAAAAGATGTAAAAACAAAAAAAAATTCATATAGACGTTTATTTAGATTCAACGCGCGACCTTCGAGATCATCATTTCCGGAACTCTCCTCCCGCGCGGGAGACAAGACAATAAGAATCCGTCGCCGTTGTAACATCCTGCGGGAAATGTGTGTATGTGTGTGTGTGTGCGGTGCATGTTGGAGGAGTGTGGCGTAATGGACTCCCCGAAGAATGCGCGTTCACGAAACGAGCGCATTCGTCTCTCAAGGCGAGATACCAACCCCGAATTCCCGGAGCGCGAACGAGCCGCGCGTAGCGCGTCTCTTAATTAGTGGTCGGATTCGCTGCTTGTTGTACGTCTCTCACTCGTTCTCGCGAAGCCGAAACGTCGTTGTACCGTGTAAACTAGACTTTACATTAGCGGAGAGCCGGTGGTTTACATCGGCATCGGGTAGGGAGATTGAGTTAAGCCGGTAAGGGCCGAAGGGGGAGCTGCGGCGCATAAAGAAGAGAGAAATGTATTATGAAGGTGGTGGTGAAATTTATTTTAACAATAATCTCTTTTCCCTTCTCTTTCCCCTCCTTCTCCCTCGCGCTCAAATTCCGCGTCGTTTAAAAAGTCTTTAAAAAAATAAGTAGGAAATATTCGCGCGGAATGGAATTCCGCTATTTTGACGTTCATATTTCGTACGCACGATGCAATAATAAAATTTGTGTATGTGCGAGCACGAAATATCCGAAGCGTATTAAATGGCATGAATAATAATTATAATAATAATTAAAATGTGAAATATTGACTTTGTGTTTCTTTAATGAGAAATTTCAGCATTTGCGTAATTAAAAATGGAAAATATGACGGTTAAATTGCAGTTTAATCTTTGGAAAAAATGGTTGATATGAATATAAACAGAGGGGGACCACGGCATAGTTCGCGGGAAAATGTAACGCTTTCAAATCATTTCGCGGAAAGAAATAAATGAAAAAACCCACAGAGAATTAATATTTAAAAACCGTGGAATAAGGAATTATAAATAAAATCACCGAGGCGAATTAAAAGATTAAAATTGTATTTACTTGTAATTTTCCATTCGGTTTATCATGTGCGAGTTTTGCATTATTAAAGTCTCTCATATGTGTGTATTATAAGATCGCAATAGCAATTAATATTCTGTTTGTGGAATTTTGCGTAATAAAAATATCAGGTTTCGGAATTAAGTTCATTGCCTGCGCAAAGAGAGCGACTCTCGAAATTTCGCGTTCTTGAGAAACTTGTCGGAATTGATGACGCCCCATTGTCTCTCGAGAGATAAGGGTCTCGAATTAACTTACAAGTGTGCGAGCGGAAAGCACACATCTGGAAAGCGGAAGGAAGAAGAATCCAGAAGGGGGAGTGAAACGCGCGTGCGGGTTTCATGGATCGGACCGGCGCGTGACGCAAAGGAGAATGAGAGAATCTAGAAGCTCGCGAATTCCGGAGATTCGCACGCGCACAAGAGGTCGGATTATTAAATTTAATTAACACTCGGCAGTCATGTCGACGACGCAGTTAAAATAAAGCCGCGCCTAGGAATGCGATAAGAATGTCAACCCGACTATTCACCCGCGGTGGATTTCTGACAAAATTCTCTTCTTTTTGTTTTACACCGGACGAGCCAAAAAAAAAAAAAAAAAAAAAAAAATTACTGATTTCAAAATATTTATAATTTATATATTTGCCGTTTGTACGGTTTATAAAATTATTCGATTAAAACACAAGATTAAAACATGAAATAAAATAGAAAATATTATGTGAAACTTATACATCGAAATACCAGCAGCCGTTCCCGAGTAATTTGCCGTAATCGCGGCGAGTCTCACGTTTCGCGGCCCAATATCGGCGGTGTCGAAAAGGGGTCGGATTCGGAAGAGCCGGTTCGCGGGATAATTCAAAATTCTGGCCGCGTAATCGCGTCTGTTGCAGATGCAACGCGTTCCCTATATCGCGTTTCTCACGAAAGCGCACACGGCGAATATATATACGTCTCGACGGGGAGATTTCGAAATTGTCCCGCAAACCAGTCCTCCAATTAGTGGCTACGTCCGGTGTCCCAAGCTATCTCTCTCCTCTTCTCTCCTCTCCCGTGTTTCTCCCTTCTCGCGCACTGTGTGTTGCATATCGAGGCGCAGTGGCGCACAGGTAGGTTATAACGAGGGAACCGGGAGAGAGAGAACGGAGAGCCGAAGGCAACATTGTGACGTTTATGACAGCCGAATGGAGCGACACGCATATGCATGTTGCATGACCGCGCCATATGGAGACAATGTAGCATGATTAAACAGTCACGCGATGCAAACTGCAACTCGGCAGCTTCGACGGCCTGTTCGGCGATATGGGACGCAGTTAGCTCGCAACCGAAACGGCCGCTCGGTCTGTTTGCGGAACGCAAGGAAGTCATGCGTCCTTAAACGCGAAAACGAGCCGTCCCCATAACCGAGACGAAAAAATAGATGAAAATGAGAAAATAAATTAGAATATAAAAAAAGACAGGAAAGAGAGAGAGAGAGAGAGAGAGAGAGAGAGAGAGAGAGAGAGGGAAATAAATAGTAATAAAAGAAGGAAAAAAGAGGAAGGGATTTAAATAGATAATTAAATAGCACAATTTATGAGCAATTTTATTTAATTTTTTTTGAAGAGAGAGAGAGAGAGAGAGAGAGCGAGGGATTTGCGTGAATCCTTCTCGTGGAATTAATTTTCTATGATAGATAGTCTACGGACCGAGTTGGATAGCTGTCTTATTATTCATCGACCTTAAATTCCGGAACGAAGGAAAATTTCTGCGCAAGTCGACCCTGATTGCTAATTTGTCGCCACCCCCGATTTAATCGTGTCGCCGATGTTAAGCAGAGCCGAAAGGAAGGAGAAGAGAAAGACGTATTTACATTTTCTTCTGGCGCTTACGGCGAATGTGACGTCACAGCTCGCAAGCGATCCGTGAAAAAGGGAAGAGGAGATTATTCTCGCGAGATAATGAATCGCCGGTTCTACAGATGATGAAAATTGTTTCGCAATTAAAATCCTCCCCCCTCTCTTCTCATACAGATTAATGGCGGTTTAAAATACATCAGGATGTTTCGCGCGCGCAAAACAATAAGTTTTTTTTTTTTTTTTATTTTTTTAAACGTCTTAGAATTTTGCAAATTATAAACGCGTTTGCAAGGTCAAATTAAGAGCGATAATTTTTGTAAAGAAATTTTTCTCTACGTATCATCTTTGTGAAAAAAATTGCAAGAAAAAGGAGAAGAATTTGAAGACAAGTATAAAGAGAAACTACTCGGGCATTCACGAGGAGTCGAACGTCTATTAACATCCTGCAATTGGAAAGTTTCTCGGTTGTATAAGGATGTCACGAAGAGGAATTTGACGAGCGAGTACCGAGCGCGTGTTGAAAGGAACGGCCCGCAGCTTCTCTCCTTCGGAGAGCCGCGAGCGCGCGCGTATAAGATCGCGCAAAAGGACGAAAGAAAAGTAAATCGCCGAGTTCCCGTCGTTTCAATTGACATCCCGCCAGCCGGTCCGTTCCGCGAAAGCGTTTTCGCTCCGCCGACTCCCGTCTATCGCGGGGTCTTCTCTCTCTCTCTCTCGGCTCTTGCACCACGCCTCCCGAGTCTGTCGATTAGCCTTTTTGCGGAGTCCCACCGCGCGGCGCATTATACACATAATAACAGCGGGACAAACTCGCGGCCAGGTGAGGCCTCGATTGAGAAACAGACTGCGGG